TGAGTAGCTGACATTACAGGCATGGGCCACTGTGCTTGACTTATATTGGTATTTTTTATTCAGCCATTCTTCACAAGCTATCTTTAAGACTTTGCAATTTGTCATAACTTCTTGGTTTTTTGATAGGTTTTTTGATTTGGTTTTTTGGTTTTTTGCCACATAGTCCAGGCTGGCCTTAAATTCACTGCCTCAGCCTCTTGTGTGCTAGGATTACAGGTATGTGCCACCTTACCCAGCTTGTCCTAATTATTGCGCTATTTCAACTTGACATGTTGAATCAACCTGAAATGTTTAACACTTTCAACTGGGACTATTCTATTTTAAAAAATACTTTTGACCCAACTGTCTTTGTGCTTGATTTATGTAACTTTATAAACATCTTTTTATTTTTTTTCTACTCCCCCTCATTGTTAAAGCTTGAACACTCCACCATCGCCACCAACACCACCACCTCCATGGCCACCTATGTATTGAGGATTAAATTCAATGACTCACCAATGCTAAGCAAGCATTCTGCCACTGAAGTCCGTACATCCTCAGCCCTTTTAAATTCGAAATAAGGTCTTAGATATTCAAGTTGGACTTGAGCTTTTGATGCTCCTTGCCTCAGCCTCTGGAGTAGCTGGGAATATAGGCATATACCATGGCATCTTGAAAATTACAATCTTAACATAGTTAAGGATTATGTAGGTATTTCTAAAAAATTTTTCTTTCTGGCAATGGGATCAGAATACGGGCAGTGATGATTCGTGTCTATGTGTGGGGATTGAAGCCATGGCCTTTACACTGAGCAGCAACCCTAGCCCTAACAGCAGCAATTCTTATTTTTAATACATTTTGTTGCATTTATATTCCAGCTGGGCTTGGTGGCAAGGACCTTCTCAGTACTCAGCAGTGAGGATGAGGATTTTGAGGCCAAATGGGCTACGTATGGAGTCCCTGTCTCAAAAAAACAAAACCTCAAATTTGTATCTCAAACATTAAAAAGAAAAGTCCTACCCAGGCATGGTGATGCATGCCTATAATCTCAGCACTCAGGAGGCTGAGGCAGGAGGATTACTGCAAGTTTGATGCCAGCCTGGAATACACAGTTGAAGAACAGCCTGAACTGGTCTTCAACTATGCATAGTGAGACCCTGTCTCAAAAAAACAAGGAAAAAATCCTAGCCCAGTGTAGTGGTGCACACATGTAATCCCAGCACTTGGGTTGCTGAGGCAGGAGGACTGAGTTCCAAGCCAGGCTAGGCTACTCAGTGAGTTCAAGGCCACCCTATACTATACAGCAAAGACCCTGTCTCAAAAAACAAAATCCTGAAATTAATTAAATTTGAAATTAGCCCAGTGGTGCAAAATTAAATTCTAAGTTCCAAGTAAAATTTCCAAGTTCATCCATTTTCTTTTAGAAGCTACAAAATATTAGCTGCTACACAAAAATTCTTGGCCATTATTCACAGGGAGAAAGAAAACAAGCAGTTGCATTGACCATGTTTAACTTTCTTTACCCTTAATGTATCTTCTGTGATCTTCAACAGTGACAGTATACCCCTGTACTAAACCTGGGAAGTACCTAAGTACATGCATTCTCTTTAAAGGAACTGATTGCAGATGTCTAAAGCAAAAACATTTGCTTTATTGTCGGGTGTGGTAGCACATACCTATAAGCCCAGCACCTGGGAGACTGAGGCAAGAGGATCAGTAAGAGTTCGAGGCCAGCCTGAACTACATAGCAAGACCCTGTCTCACAAAACCAAACCAAACCAAAACACATCTGTTTTATTATTAGACAATACTATCCTAAGTATCTCTCTTAAATGGCCCAAGAAACAATTCTATGACAAAGTGAACCCTGACAATATAGTCCCAGGAAACAATTTTCCAACGGGGCTGGGGATTTAGCTCAGCAGCAAAAGTGCCTGCCTGGCAAGCACAAGGTCGTGAGTTCGGTTCCCGGTACC